TTGCTGTTTTTTTTTTTAAATGAAACATAATTAATGTAACACAGAAGGCCCCACGTTAATACCCTCTCTCATTTCTTAAGAAAAAGATTCAAAAAACAATACTCATTTTTCAGCTAGCTAGACTAGAACCTCTCTTTAGATTTAGTTTCATTTTTTATGTATATAATTTTTGTACACCATAATTTGTTCTTATTTAAATGAAAGAAAATGCAGATTCAAGTTTTTAAGATAAAATGGAAAGTCTAATTCGTTGAGATTGGTTACGGTTATATAATTATGTACGACTATATATTTTACTCATATTATAGAAATAACATTAACAGTGTAAACTATTTAACCATTATATTGAAATTAATTTTCAGCAATGGAATAATAAGTTGATTAAGTTTTTTAAGCAAAGGTAATAAATTTCGTTCCAGTATGTCTTTGTCTTTTTTCCCACATGTCCTTTACATACAACTACTTAAACATTGTACAATACTATTATTGATTAATAGAGATTTATGTTTGAAGGGAAAAAGTATAATTTTCTGTTTCACTTTTTTCTCTTTAAAATAATTGAAGAGTTGAAATGGTAAATGATGTAAGTGCTCGAGGTGAAGATTTTCAGCATAAACGAAAAACTTGTGGTTAATTTTGATACTTACATCGTTTATCGTTTAAACGTTATGGACTTTCAGCGTTTACCACCTTTATAGATTTGGAGGGAAAATAAATGGTAAAAAATGTATCGGAATATTTAAATTTATTTATCTGTACACTTTACTTGCAGTATATTACTCAGAATCCTCCTCAAATTCCTCCATATGAATATCACTAACTTCACATACATTTTTGTAGAAGTCAACATGTTCTTTTTTATCCAAAAATGGACACATGGCTTTTAAATCCTTTTTTCTTTCACTGATCTCTTTTTTCTTTGTGATCCAAGGAAGTCGCATCAACAGGAAGTGGGCTATAATAGTACTGCAAATCTTCACATAAAAATCAATCAGTTCGATACCTGTGACGCGTCATTGGTGTCAATAATAATAAAAATCACGGTAGCTACCTCAGTTGCAGATAGTCACAGCTAATTTTTTTTTTTAATGTTAAAAGTAAGGCTTTGTCCTTTATAATGATACCAAAAAGAACACTGAATTCTACTTAATACATATTTAAAATTAACAATGAAAATGGAAAATATTGAATAACGCATAATTTCAAAAATATCAATAATATCAAAATGAAATTTGGTACAATTCAGATACCCACATAGTACACTTAGTTCCATCACGAATTAGTTAAATTAAGAAAACAGCAAACTTGGAAATAATAATTCTATATTTCAATTATTTTGAGGTTGACTTCTTTAAAGCAGTGTAGCTCCGTTAATAATTAAGAAATATGAAAAAAAATTATGCCACATTATGGCCCAAATTAACTATCTGCGTAGATTTTTCTTCATTTTGGGGATACTTACGAAGAAGGACTTCTTACCGCGTTTAGGTCGCCAATGTAAACAGTGCTTAGAGTAGTGTATCTACCATTAATGTTATTTATGTGTACGTATGTGTGTACATGCATGTTAAATAAACACTTTAAGTTCGTTCAAAAGAATTGTTATAAAACACAGTCGCTAGTTGTGCGTATACACGGAATTAATTATGTCACCGCGCATATGAAGGCACCGCGCGCGGAACAGTTGACAGAGAGTGTATCAGGCAGTAAAATGGAGAAAAATATAGGCGATTAACCCTTTCGCTACTACTGGCGCTTTGAAAATTTTTTCGCATTGTGCTATTCAAGCCTTTCGGCACACTTCCATATTAATTAAGCCTTAACTTGATTCTCTGCACTCTTCCATGTTAATTCAATAAAACAAATTTTAAAATGATAAGGCCAAAAAAGAAAATTTTACTAAATATACTAAAAAGAAAAGATACTAAAATTTGCCGCAGCGAAGGGGTTAAATGGGAGTTCGGACGTTGCCTCCTCAAATACATCCCATGTGCGAAACGAGATTATTCTTACGGTGGACAGAGTGTAGATTGTCTAGAGTTTACTAATCATGGTTGATTGTCATGTATTCTGACATTGGCACTTTTATGTGGTATAACCTAGTAGATTTCTATAAATTTCAGTATTTTTAAACTTGTATGCATTAATATATACATTTTTTCCCTATTCATCTGCAAAAACTAATTTCTCAAGTTTCTCTTTTCTTTGAGTCGTTAGAAATTTCCTTGAAGTGAGAGCAAATCCTTGTATATCCTTGAATGTCTGACAACAGATTTTTACATGATCTTCCCCATTTGACACAGTGTATGTTATTACATTAACCCTGTATAACATTAAATTAACAAATTGTATGCTAGTCTTCACGTGCGGTCAAATGTTTTATGACCGCTTGCCTGAAGACCTGAACATCATTGATGAACTGAATGTGTATTATGGCCTTGCAATCAGAAGAAATTTACAGAGTGCTGAGGAAATGAAGAAAGCAATACGGACTACTTTTCTGCACAAGATTTTCACGGGTAAAAATCCCCAGCATCGAAATTGTCCTTCTAGAGCAGATTCGTGGTATTTGTGACAGCAAGTAAAAAGCGATTCGTCCTGTTTAGAAAGACCTCAGTTCGGATGATCCTTTGAAACGACGTGAAAGAGACTTTACACAAAACAATAATGAAAGTGTGAATTTACTGATATGGACAATTGCCCCGGAGACAAGATTCTGTGGTAAAAATACAACAGTCGTCATTGCGATATTTATTGTTGCTAATATTTTCAATTATGGGTAAAAAAACATTTTATTAATGTTGCAAGTTATACCAAAAATTTCTGTCAGAAAATAGAGGAGCGACGGCTGAGACACGCGGAGATCCGGGCTCAGGAAAGTTCGAAAGAGGTTCGACAATTGCTTGGAGCAGCTCTAAAACAAGATGAGTTTTAGGAACGGAAGATTCCCTTTATGAACCCCGAATTGCAGACTGAAGGTAAATTTTAAGAAATTTTGTTTTATTTCAGAAGAATATTAACTTGAAACTTTAAACACATTTTACTCGAAAATATACTTTTTGACTTGACATCTACATAGAAGATCTTCGAAACTATTCAACCGATCAACGTCAAATTTCGACACAATATACCTTATAAATTTTCGAAGTTGATTCATTTTAGTGAAAAGAAATTGTTGTCTCTAAAAAGCTGCCGTTTCGTTATTTTTTAAAATAATTCAAACATTGTTCGCTACATTGAAAGAAAAAGATTTTTATTTAAGTTGACAAGAATTTTTCAATTTTTATGTTCCAGTCGTTTGCGGTGCTGAGTACCAACTGACATGATCCTTTCAGACAATATGGTAGACAATACTGTATAGATCCGCCATTTTGTAATTTTAAATAATAAATAATGTATGAAAATGAAATTAAAATGTTGCCTAACATGTCCTGAAAGAATTACGGTATTTCGCTCAATAATTATCTGAAACAAAATTTTAAATTCACCTATTCTTTTTAGGCACATAAATTTGAATTGATCCTGTTGCTGTTGAAATTGTCGCTGTTCTTTGGGTTTCTTCTGAGCTGTTCTTGTTAGGGAAATGGTGTTTGATTTTTTCTTTGATTATTATTGCCGTTCCTCCATGTGCTTTACCAGAAGAAAGTGTTGAAATTTTGTGGCGACAATTACGTGGAACACTCTCTAGAAACAATCTAATTATTTACTCGATCAACGAAATCGAATAAAAAGTGTCTTCGTTATTGTTTGTAGTATCAAAAAAATATTCGCCTCTCCTTAGGTAGTTTTAAGAGGCGCAGGAAGAAAATTGTAAAAGAAAAAGTGGTGGTTGGGAGGGATACAGGCCAGGGCCTTCCACGGAAACCCCCCATTAGGCTCAGAAATAGCGTGCGTGTATCGTAGAAGACGAAGGAGGAGTTCTTCCGTGGTAAATAGAGTCCAAGTGTTACAAAGAGCGTTGTACGAGCTGTTGAAGGTTGTCTGAGAGTTGTAAAAATCGTTGTACAATTATTAGAGTTGCATTATAATTGTCTTAGCGTTGTGAATGGTGTAAAATTATTATTATATTCATCAATATGTTTTTATTATTTTCAAATTTTTTAATTATATCACATTCTATCATTCTGTCATTGTCGTAAAGCATCGTTATAAACTATTACATGAAAAATACTTAACAATACAGATTCTACATATTTATTGTTCAAATTATAATTACATTTTGAATTATAAAGTTAATAGTACATATCAGCGTATACCACTAATATATAAAAAGATAATACTTTAATGTACATATCAACACATTTAAAAATATCTACTTTTATTGTATCACTTATATCTGACATGTTTTATTATCTTATATTTAATTAATTTTAATCTCTTATTACATTCATGTTCGTATAATTGAAGATTGGACATAAAACACGATGAAAATGTCAAGGTCAATATAAATGTATCAGTATTTGCACAATTTAAAAAAAAACTGCTAAATCTTGCATCACACAGCAAAACTTTAGATTAGTAAAGCCCAATGGATTCAGATATGTAAGTTCTAACAATCCTGGCCTTGCAAAAGTAAAACAATCCTTAAATTAGCTGAAAGATTGGCAAACTATGAATGTTTTGAAGAAAGGGATAAATGTAAACGAAGTAAAAAGCAATTAAACTGCTGTCTGTGAAGGTCAACAGTCGGATCTTAAAAATAAAAGACAAGTGACATCAGGAAAATACTGCTCTAGCTGAAAAATGACGATCGATGCCAATCCTTCATTAATATGTTAGATTAACTTGCTTAGATTATCTCTTTTATTTACAATTTAAAAAAAGCTGTTATTTTCTTTAGTTTCTATATCATTACTGTTTAATTTTATGAATTTTATAAAAAGAATCTATATTAGTACTTTAAATCAAGGAGCTTTTAAAATATTAAATAGTGTGGCATATGTACTAAAAAGGTTTTCATATATTTTGTTAATAAGTAACATTTTGGTAACTAAAAAATTGTTTCCTTGAAACTTTTATTTTTAGCACATACAGCTTTTTATGTCCAGTCCACGATTACCGTTTAAAATTCTTCAGCACTTGTAAATTCTCTATTTTCCTGAATTGTTTTTTCATAAAAACATGTTAAGATGTGTTTGATGTTAATTTCTTTTTACACTTGAATTGCGTTTAATATCCAAATCGTTAAAATGATTGAAGAATTCTTTTTTTTGGAGTAACATTAACCCGTTAACCGAGAAAGACGCGTTAACTCGTTGAAAAATTAACCAGTGCTTAGAATACAATGGTTTATTTCCCGAGAAATTCCTCATTTTTAATTGCACTGTTGCGCCTGTATTAAACACAAAATACATCGTGTTGGCATTTGCAAGAACAAAAACAAAGTAACTGATTCATACACATTCTTAAATACAGAGTAAAGAGATTCAATTTTGGTTCGAGAGGTGAACTCAGTTAACAGGTTAACTGTTACAGTTGTCATAATTGCACATAAATACCTGTATACATACAGTGTAAATTGTTTTTATGTAACTTTTATGGTACAAACTCAAGTTGTGTCTACACTATATAATAAAACAGTGTTACAAAACAAATTGTTTCATGACCTTGTTATACAACTTATTATAAGATTATACTCTTTGGTTTGATAGTAACAAATCTGTAACACGTTTGTATTTTTTCTTCTTTTCAACTCTCGCTGAAACTGTTCAATCGAATCCATCTCCATATCAATTAGTGCTGCCGGCATGCTCGAATATTAGAGTATCTCAAAAAATATGACTTTGAGTAAAATTTTCTGTCTATCATATTTGCCCTTTCGAACCAAATGTTTTCCTTCAACATTTTCTCATATTATCAAAAACAAGTGAGATATTCGAGGTGATCAAGATACTTTGTTCACCCCGCATTTCGAGCAACTTGAAACAGTCAAGTAACTCATCTTTCAAATTGCTCGAAACATTAGAGGTACAGTAAGACCCCCGTAACCGCGGTCCGAAAAAATTGCGTTCAAGTATGTAATCTATCTCTAACAAGCCTGCATAATCCTACGAATTTGACACGTTTCTAGAATTTGACAATGCGTCTAGAAGTGCGTTGCTTTTATTCTAACACTTAATATAATGAAACTAGTAATCAAAGTAACTAAAACTTCACGTGCAACCTCGTGTAATAAATAAAATATTATCATAGGTATGTACAGCATGTAAGTCCATGCACAGAACATATGAGTATGTACGCAATAGGGTTCGTTACTATCCGCGGAAGGCCTTGGAACCAATCCAATTGTTTCGAGCCGCTCGAAACAATTCGAGTACTTGGATCGGATTATAACAATAAATTATGTTTTCCGGTGAGAGGTAACTAACAGCTAGACTGAGATGACGAACCGCTTGCATTCGGTAGATGGCAAATGTTTTATGACCGTAACACTCGTATGGATCGACTGGTAGACATGTTACATAACACTGTTTTATAACTATCTTTGATCTCTACCGACGCTTGATGGGTAACATATAACTTGCTGTATAACACGAAAAATGTTATTTAACATGTTGACTGCCACGGTGGTCGTATGTGACCGCAGATTGTTTCTCCTGTAGCGCCACGGTTGTCATCGGTGACCGGAGTGCTTCAAATGTTTATAATTGTAAAAGTTGAATGAACATTGACAGTTGATGAATTTTGAACATCATTACTGATTAGAGAATACTTTGAAATAAAATGTGCACTATTCGACAATTCCAAATTTTTACTAGAAGATCAAAAATGAGAGATTAATTTTTATCAAATCTTCTATCTACCGGTGTATTGTATTAAAGCATTTCAAACATAGATGCGGCTGATCGATACAATTTGGGCAGTATGTGGTAACCTTTTTGGTCCGATTTTTAGCAATCTTTGTTCCAAAACTTGCAAAATTTTTTTGATAACATTCTTTGCAAAATTTTCGCACCAGGTATGCTGGCCCTTCCTTTTCTCGCATCTCATGTCGTGATTTTCTTCGGATAGATATATTTGATGGCCCTGGTGTAAATAAATATCCCAAAATAGTTACCAAGTGTCATCGGGTCCACCAAGGCGCCACGGTGGTCACCCGCGACCACCAGAAAGATAAACGCCCCATGGGTAAGAATGTTGTCTTATATATCCGCATTTATTATTATTTTGCCATTATTTGCTTAGAATAATAAAAACACCTTCGTGGCGTCCTAAGCAAAACATGTGATTTCGGCGTGGCAGTCAACGTGTTAACATGATGTTGTACAACATTTTATTTTCCTAACAAGTTGTATAACTCTGGTGTATAACATGTTATATTATATAGTGTAAACGCAGCTTAACGGGCTTTGTTCAAAATTTAGCAGACAACTTATAGTAATCTTAATGAACGATAGTTTTTAGAATTTCAAATGAGAACTAACTCATTCTATGTGCTGCCTGGTGTTTCATTTTCCCTGTCATTATATTGCGGTTGCTTTGTAACACTTCCAACAGCTGGATTCATTGAAACACAGGAATGATTTGTTGCGTATCCAAATGTTTTCTTACAAAAGCAGAATTCACAGAATTCGTTTCTATCGTAAACTGGTATGTTTATCATTCCATTCGAAATTGCGAAATTCCTGCAACACGTAATATGTATTTAAATTTCTAGCATTTTTATGTATAATTATTTTGTTTTTAATGAGTGAAGTAGAAATTATTAGCCGCAATAATTGAACACTATAATTTTCACCGAATTTTTATTACAATTTCAAACAGCGCCATTTCTTAATATTTTTTGTACAGTTGTAGTGTTTACACAATGTTTAGTCAAAGTCGTAGATTGAAACAATATGAAGTATGAGATTAGAAATAAAAGCTAGCGGTTGCTAGTAATAAGTTTAATATCGCCGTATAAAGAACACCACAAGTAGAAATTCTGAATTGCTAAATAGTGTAGCCACATAAGTTTTCAAACAGTAATGTCATACATGTATAATTTAAGCAAAAAGTAAAACGGAGCAAAATCGCATTTTCAAATTTCAGAAACCTCCACTCTGTTAATGTTCAACTTGTTTTAATAAATTTCGTCTGATATTATCACATATTTTATAAACTGCAGAACATTCACTGTCTCGTTTGTGTAACAAGAATGCTTTTTGTTGCAATCCTCTGCTGCTTTTCCAAATTGAGTAAAAACTCTCTTAGATAGTATAAATGAAATTTTGTTTACAAAGGAAAATATGACTGAAAATTCTGTTGGATTTTGTCGTCTGAATTTAAATAAACATAACTCCGCCAAAAACTAACGTATTTACTGAAAATAAGAACCACTGCACAATCAATGCACTTTTGCCAACATTTCACTAATTTATTTATGTCATGTACAAAAAAACTACCAGGTCTGGAATCGACAAAGTCCACGAAGGCCTGTTCCACATCACTTTGATAAAATGGTCAAAAGTTTTGAACAGATAATAATCTTGATTCGACTAAAACTGTTTAATTACGTTTGATACACGTATCATACACTAAATGTCCCATTACTCATATAAATATAGACAATATACCAACGTATTCATTAATTCTTGGAACAAACAAAATCGCGATAGCTAAATAAAACGGATTTCCACTTGTGATTCGAACGTAACGAGTCGAAATATCCTAATCTTGCAAAATTAGCATGAAAGAATTTATTCTCAGGCAAGAAATATTAGCAATATAAGAAATAGATTGTAAGATACAAGTTAAAATATAATTGTTTCATTAAATAAATAATGAAAGCAATAACTTAATGTTTTCACAAATTTTGTCTCAGTCATTTCTGTTTTATTTCGTGTCGTTTCTCTCATGTCTTAGATTTCTATCATCTTGAATATTGCTTGACATTAAAAGTTCTTAAAGCATTTATGTACTCAACTGTGTAACGTGTGTCTAAAGAAATTCGAAAGTTTATGGAGCAATTAGATCCTTTACCGAATTTCTATTTGGAACAAAGAGAATTATAAAAATCTTGCATTACAATGTATTTATTACTTATGGTAGGATAGTGTACGAATAGTGTGCATGTCACATGGGTATAATCCTTCTTAAAGTGATTTGTTGAGTTCATTTCTCTGTCCCCTTAATAGAGTCCTACTGCTTCGTTTCCCCATACTTCACTATTCTCTGCAATTGAGAATCTTGCAATCACCGTTATGTACTTATTCTATTTAATATGTGCACGCAGATGTGCGATACACTGAAGATGAATATTGAATGGACATATTTATTGTATTATACATCAATCGATTTTCTGAGCCAGTTGCAACCACCCTAACGCGGTCATGAGTTCTCCCACGTAAATTATGATCATCTGAGGAAACACGAAGGATTTCAAAATTAATATCAATACGGAATTGTACGAATGTGAAGACATAACGTTTAGTATTCTATTGACATTTTTAAAAATTTTACGTTTTTTCGTTATATTAAAAGATACACAGTTCCGTCGATAAATAGGCAGAGACATCAAAATCTTGTTTTACAGGGTAGAATTTGTAAATGAAAAATAAATCTACATACTCGAGTTGAGTACAATTTGCAAATAAGAAGCCTGTCAAAATTCATTTTGAATTATAAATTTTCAATGAATTTCTTTATTTCATTTCTACGTAGTCATTTAACACTAGGTTTACGGGACGCGATATTTTGACGCATTTCGAATTTCACTAGGAAAATTATAGAAACCGTTTACATTTCTCTCCTACCATTTATGCTTATTATAAATTTTATATAAATATATTGTTCATATTATCATTCATTTATAAGTTAATAGTGTATAATATGTTGTTTTTAAATAAAATAAGTTGCTTTTTAAAGAAAATATATGCGGTTTCATTCACGCGTCAATTTGACGCGTGTCCGTAGACATAGGTATATAAGAAATGTCCGTAAACCTAGTGTTAAAAAGGAACGGAAAGTTTCAAAACGAACATGTTAAAAACAATCGTTTTGTGGGATCGGGGTCTCTATGCCCGCCAACAGAAGGAATTAGAGAAACTAGAGAGTTCGATGCCTGCTTGGGTTCCTCATTTTTCCTCGGCTTCTACAATTAGAGATAGTTGAGAATCAGAGTTTTTGGGAGAGAGTTCGTTAGAGATTTAAATAAATCGTTGTTATAGTGTATTGAAGCATTTATATCGTTACTGAAATATGAGCCCCTTAAAAGCCAAAATGATTAACTCCACTTTTTGAAATTCTTCAAATTTTAGTAGTTGGTCATTTTGACTTCTGAGTGGCTCATACAATAGTTATTGTTTCATTCTATGTCAAGTCTGTCTATAACCCAACAGTTCCCACAGTTTCAATATTCGAAATGTGGAATTTCTCTTTATTCCATTTATATGAAATTGTTCTAATTTTGTTGCAAGGACAATGCTTTTAAATATAGTGGTAGTGATGTTGAAAACCATTTCCAACTAACTGGAAATATAAGAAAAAGGAAAAACGTGTTAAAATTCGTTTACGTTTCTTTAATTTACTGCACAAAATTGTATATAAAAAATGAAGGGGAAATTATAATAGTAAGGAAAAAATTATGCAAACACTTGTTTTATTATGTAAATTCTATTGTTATTAAAGCATATAAATGCTAACACGAATGAAAATAGTCAAGAGTATAATGATATAGTAGCAGTTACACGCCGATGTAATGAAATTTCGAAATGAACTTTCTGGAAAATGAGAAACGTATACAGAAACTTATTCCGCAATTCCAACTTATTTTTTCGTAACGAATCATCCTCTTTCCGGTGGTATGTACCTTAATTACGGGGATCTATTGTATAAATTTGTAACGGTATAAGGTAAAGCAAAACTTTAAATAAAAATTTGTCAGCGCCGATATATTTTAACACGTTGACTGCCGAACCAATTCTATACAGGGTGTTTCGTAAAGAGTGTAACACCGGAAATGGGGGTTGCTGGGGTGATTCTGAACAACTTTTTCCTTTACCAAAATGTTGGTTGAAGCTTCGTTTTTGAGTTATTAACGAAGAACACTGGCCAATCAGAGCGCGCGTAGAGCCGGCCCCCAGGCACGGGAGCGCAGGGTCTCATCCGCGCGCGATCGTGAACAAACGCACTGGCACAGCGTGGGTATCGAGGGAAGCGTGCGGCAAATGTTTCATCGTCTTGAATTAAGAATAATCTGGAATTATTCGTTATTCATGAATAACAAATAAACTAATAAGTCGTTTAACACGTTGAATGCCGGACTAATTCTACGTAACTTGTCCACGGCACAGAAATGAATTTTTTATTTGAATACAACACATCGCAATATGCATAAATAGATGAAAATTCATTAGATGAAAATTTTACGAATATTACCGTTTATTCAAATTAAATGCTTTTACTAATCTTGGCACCGCCGGTCACCGATCACCCCCACGGCATTCAACGTGTTAAGGATCGTTGATTATACATAGGTAGTCCGACGCTGTTTCGCTTTCGTGCGATGCATGACAGAGATACTGGTCTGTGTGTGGTCATTGAGAGTATATACCTGGGAAGGTGCGCAACTCAAACATCCTGCAATGGCTATTGAGTTAGTCACGTAGCTATAATGTCAATAAAATGTTGATAGTGTGGAATGAGAATTCGTGTGGAGTGGAGCTTGTCGTATGCAACCCGATGACTCCGCCCCACTAGGATCTTCACCCTAAGATAAAACACTACCTTCTCGCTCCTCCAGGAAACGGTCTATCATGGATAGGACCCTTTCTTCCCTCTTTCCTTATTCTCACATTCCTTCGAACAAGTGCAAATTAAGATCACCTAAAGATAAGGTACTTTCCTCGCGCTCCTCCAGGACACTGTCCATCGTGGATAACACCCTTTTTTCCCTTTTTCCTCGCATTCCTTCGACCAATAATAAATTAAAAGAACCTTTTCCATATGCTCCTCGGAAAAGATGGACATCCTAGATAGAATGTCATCTACCCAGAGATGCGCTTCGGAAAACTATCGCCACTTAACCTCCAACTACCCTAAGGGAGAACAGCCTTATATACAGACCCTTGGAAGGAGCAGGGTCACTTAGAAAATTCTTGTAAACGAGTGCGAAACGAATCTCTGTTCATATTGTATCCAGAAACGTTGTAAAGAGTGTGAAATACAGTAAAAATTTCAATAATCCAGAGCAGTCTTGTATGTAATAAAATGATGGCAAATAGTAAGGAGCGATTTTATAGTTAATTTTAGTCATATAGTTTTTACTCTATTTATATGTTCGCGACACTGTATTCTTGAGAGTTGTTGAGGGCAACTGCCCCGATGCTATTTTGCGTTCGTACGATTTATGGCAAGGACTTGGCCAGCGTGTGGCCAAAGAGAGTGAATATGTACAGACATCCAACTAGTGACTGTACATATTCACATCCAACTAGTGACTCGAAGTCACGTATAGTCGGGGCCACGATATAGCGAGGTCGTAAAATCGGTCAGACGTCAAAGTAAACATGTTTTAGCTGCCGGGACCCGAAAATTGACAGAGATACGAGCAGATAAGTACTTGAAACCATTGTCAGGACCGTACGAAGAATTCTTGTATCCAGCGAAAGTCAACTGATTCTAATATATTTACTGAAAACTGCAT